CTGACTCACTGCTAATAAAGCCTCAGCCTTCCTAATAACCCCGTCCCATGACTAAGACTCAGCTAATTAACAGAGGCTTCTAGATTTCAAAGTTATAGTATGAGGCTTGGTAATTCTGGACAGAAATCGTTAGCAGTTAAGCAGAACTCTCTTACTTGAAATTATTCAGCCTAGCTTTAAAAATAATCATATTCTTTCAGAGTGGATTTTAAGGCCACTATGGCTGGTTCTCCCTGGCAGCGGGGTGGCCTAGTGGTTAGTCCCTGGGATTAGTTGGCAGTAGGGCTGCCAGATGGTTTAACCAAAAATACCGAACACGCACACACCCCCTAAAAAAAACCATGGGGGGGGAAATTCTGTTGAGGAAAAAAAAAGGGAGAGACCAAAGTTGTTGAGCAAAAAAATATATTTAAAAAAAAAAGCATGACCCCTTTAAGAAACACTTTTCAGGCTTTTTGGCCCTAACAGGCTGCCAGTGGCCATCGGTCATCTTGTCTCCCTGCTCCAGACAGCTCCCTGTGGAACCAGGTTTTTCACCTCCTGGCCGGGAAAAAAATCAGAATATACTGGACATTTTAGGTGACCAGTATTTTCTGAATTTTTTTTTTAAATCGGACAGGAGACGAAAATACCGGACTATCCAAATCAATACCTGACACCTGGCAACCCTAGCTGGCAGGAAAGGCGGGCAAACCACTGACATTGGTGCTCTGGGCCTAGGAACTCCAGCCCACTATGTTAGTCCAGGCCTTAAGTTCAGGGTATGGCCCCAACAGTCCAGATTTTCCCTCTCAGTGAGGGTTTTGAGCAGGTTTCCCCCATCCCTTTGTCCTAGCAGTGGCTGTCCAAGCAGGCAGGCTTTGGTGCAGGTCCTGCCAGCTGCAGTACCATGCTCCTGCATATGTGTGTGCAGCACATTTCATTAGGGTGTGCACCCAAAGAAGTTTTTTTAAATGTACTCTTTGACCCCCATTAGCCAAACCCCTGACCCTTGTTAACCACGCCCCCTGACCCCCATTAGCCACACCCCTGGAGGTAACACTCTCAGGACAAGATGGACATATGACCAGAAGTAAAAGGTGTCATGTGATCCCCCTCTAAAGACTTTTCCCACCATCCTCCTACCAACAGAGATTAGTTTGACCACACCAAACCTCCCTCATGCAACTATCCTCATGCAACTAACCCAATGTGTGTGACATTAACTTGGGGGCGGAGAGGCTGGGGGAAGTATTCACTCTAAGAGTTTCCTCCCATGAGCAGAATGAATGTTGTGTTGTACACCAGTACTGAGTTCATGTGGCTTGTTCTCGATGCACCACTGTGGTACTCAAATTATTAATAAATATCTTATAAACCTCTACCTTTTTCCTCTGCTGCCCTGTCTCGTCCCCTTGCTCCATCAGTTCCCCTGGTGCCTGCTGCCCCCAACGTAAGAACATAAGAATGGCCAAACTGGGTTAGATCAAAGGTCCATCTAGCCCAGTAGCCTGTCTGCCGACAGTGGCCAGCACCAGGTGCCCCAGAGGGAGTGGACCAAAGACAACGATCAGGCAATTTGTCTTGTGCCATCCATCTCCAGCCTCTGACAAAGAGAGGCCAGGGACACCATTTCTATCCCTTGGCTAATAGCCTTTTATGGACCCAACCTCCATGACATTATCTAGCTTCTCTTTAAACTCTGTTATAGTCCTAGCCTTCACAGCCTCCTCTGGCAAGGAGTTCCACAGGTTGGCAATGCGCTGTGTGAAGAACTTTCACTTATTCGTTTTAAGCCTGATACCCATTCATTTCATTTGGTGTTCTCTAGTTCTTATATTATGGGAACTAATGAATAACTTTTCTTTATTTACCCTTTCCACACCACTCATGATTCTATAGACCTCTATCACATCCCCCCTCAGTCTCCTCTTTTCTAAACTGAAAATTCTCGGTCGCTTTAGCCTCTCCTTATATGGGACCTGTTCCAAACCCCTAATCATTTTAGTTGCACTTCTCTGAACTCTTTCCATGGCCAAAGTATATTTTTTGAGGTGAGGAGACCACATCTGTACACAATACTCAAGATGTGGGTATACATAGTTTTATACATGGGCAGTAAGATAGTCCGTGTCTTATTGTCTATCCCTTTCTTAATGATTCTTAACATCCTATTTGCCTTTTTGACCGCCACTGCACACTGTGTGGACGTTTTCAGAGAACTAGCCACGATAACTCCAAGATCTCTTTCCTGATTTATCGTAGCCCAATTAGCCCCCATCATCCTCCTCTGCTGTCCTGACTCCTGCCCTTCTCACTGCCCTCAGCCTTCCTGAGACCTGCCACCAT